CGGTTTGGAAACAAGGTCAGGTTTCTGACTGTTTGGAGATGCAGAGTGAAGTGAAAACATGTTCTTTAACGGGGAAACTATTTGGGCATGAGAAGAGGATCTGTGTGTTCTGAAAGAGCCTTCACTTATGGATGTTATTAGTTACACTTACTGAGCCTGCTGTGAAAGGAATCATTGTTTGGGCTGCACAATAGAAACACTAACGCGATTCTTTTCAGTATGACACACACGGGAACGCTGTCCTCTTCAGTTCAAAGCTTCAACCCGTCTAGAGATTTGTTTGAAAAGATCGTGGTCAGGCGTGACGCCAGCAAGCTTTGAGGGAACTGTTGAAGCGTACATGATGTCACAGAAGTGAAGATTTAAGTGATGGACGCACGGCCTCCAATGTTTTCAGAGTTAGGCTCTTTAAAGACACGGTGTGTGTGTGTGTGTGTGTGTGTGTGTGTGTGTGTGTGTGTGTGTGTGTGTGTGTACCTCTGAAGGAACCTGCTGAGCTGCGATGTAGTAGATGAGGAAAAGTCTCATTTTGTCTTCAGTGTGTGTGTGTGTGTGTGTGTGTGTGTGTGTGTGTGTGTGTGTGTGTGTGTGTGTGTGTGTGTGTGTGTGTGTGTGTGTGTGTGTGTGTACCGTCTGGGTCACTGATGATGTCCAGTATAGATTTGTCTAAGGTCGACTTGCTCATCAGTTTCTCTTCAAACTCAAAGTAAACGTCCAGTTTACGACTCTGAGGACACAAACAACAAACAACAAAGATGTCAACATTTAGAAACGTTTAGATCCCATGTACAAGTCTGTTTGTGTGTGTGTGTGTGTGTGTGTGTGTGTGTGTGAGTGTCTGTTAGTGTGAGTGTCTGTTAGTGTGTCAGTGTGTGTGTGTGTGTGTGTTGTACCTTGATGTGGTCGAGGACGGCTGTGGCCACGTTGGTGTGCAGGTCGATCAGTCGTTTCTTCTCCAGCAGCTCGGGCAGAGAGCTGCAGCACACAGAGGAACACAAAACAAGTCAACAGAGGAAAGCACTCGCCCTCCTCTTCGTGAAGTGAAGACAACAATCACATCTTTACATAACAACACATTCATAATCTAACAGGATGCTATAATACTAAGTATAAAGATTGATGTTTGCGCTTTAGAGACGATGTTTGGTACCTGACAGCAGAGGTGAGTTTGGCCGTGTTGTCTGACAGCATGCTGATGGCTCCTTCGTCCTCGCCCTCTAAACCCTGCAGACACACAAACACCAAACAATCATGAACTCTTACCGTCCTGACGAGGTTCACTGAATGTTTCAAGACAATACAATCCCCCCTCCGCCCTGACCCCTCCCTCACTTTTCTGACCGAGTGCAGCCGCTTCATTTAGACCTGCAGCCCCAAAGCTGCAAAAAAAAAGGATTTTCTCAGGTTTGTAAAGTCTGTTGGTTCCCCTTGAATTTTACTCTCACAACGAAACGCCGTCATTATGCGCTCAAGAGTGGACGGGGCCATCTCGCTCCCTCCAGGTGGTGGCAGGGCTAACCCAGAACTTCTACCAGATATGTGAGCATCACGCGTCCGCTCCGATAGCGTCCATTCACAGATTGAGACACAAATATGACGCAGCTGTAGAATCAACATGATCGTCTCGAGGCATGAAGACGGTTGATTGATTGATTGTCTAACCTGCACAGACATGTTGGCAATGTTTCGTTACCGTGTGTTTGTCTCACCATGATGCTCTTCAGGCGTTTGACCTCGTCCTCCTGCGCTCGGTAAGTGTCCAACTCCTCCTGGACCGACTCTGCCACCTCTGGGAACGGACTGAAACACACATAAACACACACACACATCTTTGATTTATTTACCTTTTGAAAAATAAACGTTGGCGCTTCTTCTTTATTCGCTCTGCTGACGGAGCCTAACCAGCGTCCCTGTTCTTTAGCTTCTAACCATTCCACCAGATTCTGATTTCTAAATAACAAATGAAGTCACAGCTTTGTAAACTTAAAAGATTTTGTCGACCACAGCACGATCACACAGTTATGAATTAGAACGCTCCATAGCAAACTGTCTTAGAACCAGTTTGCTTTTCCACGGGGAAGGGCCACAAAAGGACCACGTAGTCTCTTATTTCCCGGCAACAACAACAACAGACGACTGCAGCGTCTCGTTTCAAGTATGACTCCCGGCTTTGAAAAACTACTTAAGCATTCAAACATTATAAACATTCAAAGCCGAGGGTAAAGACTCTGACCTGCCCTTGTGTTTCTGCCAGAACTTGTCGGCAGCGGTCAGGTCGTACATCTTCCTGTTCTTCTTCTTTGGTCTGGCACCGGCAGGAGATGGCGCCGCCCCCATGCCCTCCTCCATCACCACCCGGTTCAGCTGGAAGTCCTGAAGAAGAAACACACAAACACACACATATAAGATTTCTCATGTGGTCTTTGTTGTTTTGAGTTCACAGCAGCAGCTTCACTGGTTGTTTTGTTTTTTTACAGTCTCTCTCGGCGTCAGTACCCATGAGTAACTCTTCATTAAGTCACGGCTGGCTTCATTTCCTCTCTTTTAAATTGTTTTTCTTGTGTCATATAATCTAATTCAACCATTTGAGTCTTTTGAAATTGACTGAATCGAGCGTGAAACCACCGAGACAACCCAAAGACATTTACCTTCAGTCTACCTTCAGTGTGTGCGTCTCAATTTTCCATCAGTGAATCCTGACAACATGAATCCTGACGGGAGCTGACAGGAAGCAGATCTCATTTACAAAAGCCACCGTCATATCATAACAGTGCCGTTGCCATGGGAACAGAGGGGGGATGAGGGGCGAGATTTAGTGCTGGGATCTGGTCTCCTGCAGGCTCTGTTCAGACTTTTGGACATATTTGTAGGAAAAGAGGAGAAAGCCGGAGAATGTGCAGCCAGCGAGCGGCGGCGCTGCCATCTGGACCCACGCTACCAAAAACAAAAAGTACATCAAGGGTCTGGATTCTGGATCAAGGATTGTGGATTTGGGAGAAGCTGCAGGGCATTTTTTCAAAAGACGTAAATCTAAAGAAAGTCTAAAAATGGAGACAGAGTATATCAGCTGTTTCCAAAACAAATGGGACACATTTAAAGCGTCATCTTATGGACTCGTACCCCGGTACATCACAGTTCTGTGAAGGTTGTCAATGATAGAGGGGCACCGGTGGCCTGGTGCTTAGTTCTCGCACCCCCCATGTGCAGAGGCTGCAGTCTTGTTTGGATCCAATGTGTGGCTTTCTTGCAGCATGCACGTACGCAAGTATGTGGTCTGCATAAGTCTTACAACACAGAGGAAAATGCTCAGTTTCAAATGTGCTCTCCTTGTGAGGTCACAGTGGGATTCTGGTAAAAAAAAAAAAAAAAAAAAAAGACCCCCCCTGGGTATCTCCACCCATGGACTCCACCCCCAGCCTAGAGCAAAACTTTTGAGTAGGTCCGCCATTTTTATTCTCTCTAGCAAAGAAGTGATGCCTACTGGGAAAACACAGGGGGGGGGGGGGGGGGGCCTCATTACATTTAAAGAGACACACACACCAAAACGGAGCGTTCTGAGAGAGCTGGTTTATACAGAGTCACAAACCTCCTCTGGTGTTTGATTCATGTTACATTTTGACCAAAGCACAACACAGATGTTTCATTTAGACCACAGGGGACTGTTTGAAAAGGTGGAGAAGGGGGATTATATGTTCTCTTTAATAATACAATCTGAGCTGAAACATCTGAACACAAGTCCAAAAATGATAATTGATAGGGACCGAAATGATGAAGGCCGACAGCTCTCGTGTTGAAGGGCCTTGAGATTACAAAGTGAGGTTGTCAGATAAACTCAGACTCCCTGAACTCCACAGACACACTTCCCTTCTCTTTGTATCGGGAGAGGAAACATTCAGAATCTCATGAAGCTGTTTGACACGTTGAACAATCAGCTGTCAGGGATTAATACTCAGGATGAACACAAAGCTATCATGTCGGGTTAAAGTTCTCTCTGTAGCTGATATCTGTGCTCAGACAAAGACCATCTGGAAAGAGAGGGAAGCTTCACTCTGTTAGACTAACGCAGAACCAGAGAGGACCTGTCAGCGTCGTAGTTCTGATGGAAGACGCTCTGCGTTTGGTTGAAGCAGCTCGTGAAAAGTCAGAAGGGCTACAATTTTTAAATCAATTTTTATTTGTTCAGGAAGATTTAAATATGTTTTCCATCATGAGTCAGGCTGCAGAGTTATCTGAACACAACGGCTGATTTGTTCCCTGCTGAAGGAAAGTTAGTGTGTGTGTGTGTGTGTGTGTGTTATGTAACACATCGGTGTAACTCCACATTCCTGTGCTGTCAGTATTAACCTCAGCAGCTGACAGCTCTCTGGCTCTGCATGAAATAATGTGTGTGTATGTGCCTTTGGGGATCCCTGAGACACACAGACACACAGACACACAGACACACAGACGCACAGACGCACAGACGCACGCACGTTTTGTTTGATTTGAAGGTTAAAGTCTTTAAAGACGCTCTGAGCTCGTCATCGTTTGCTACTCTATGTTTAAGCAAACACCTCACAGCCTTTTAACACCAAACTTTACAGGTGTGAGATGATCTTAAAGCCTTCAGTAGAGTGCAGTAATGCAGTAAGAGTTTGTGACGGCTCACCAGCACATCGTGGATCAGCGCCTGATAGGTCCAGGTGTGGTGAAGGGGCGTGGCCAGGTCCACGTTACGATCAGCCAGAACAAACAGAGGCCTCTGAAAACTGAAGAGAAAACAAACAGAGCCCACATTAAAGCTGCTGCACATACAGCACAGCATTGTGGGAAGTGTAGTTTACTTTACTTTCAGCGTGTGGTTTACCTGAACTGTCCGGCAGCCATGTTGTCTCCAGTGAAGAGGCTGTTTCTGGCGTCCCGCAGGTTCTCTCGGAGCTTCTTATCAAGTTTCTGAACACACAAACAGAAACATCAAATCAGATGTTAAAACTTCACCTACTGAGGAGAACAATAAAGTCATTCATGAGAGTGTGAACTCACCCCGGCGACCATCTCTGCTGCGTTTCCACGGGGACAGCGAATGATCGGCACTGCACCTGAGCAACAGAAACAGCAACAAAACACACTTCAATAAAGTCTCAGGGAAAAGAAGCCGTGGGAATATGTGAGGAGACGACATCAAGCTGAAGGACGCGGTCTGTTGGCGACTATGAGAACATCCCTCTGATCCTGATTCTCACTCTGACTGATCATTTCAAAGATCTAAACGGAGGTTTCCATCTAGTGGACAGAAACAGAACTACACTGAGGGACCACCTTTAACTCATCCAGCCTATCAGAGGATCCTGACCTGAAGCAGCGTCCTCGTTCTTCAATCTGTTGATTAACTGACCAAATATTCACACACACACTTTCAGGTCAGTCAAACCGACACACAGACTCACCGAGCGTGACAAAGAAACAGAAGAGCGAGTCGACGATGGTGTCCATGATGGCCTCCATGTCTGTGTCCTGGATGTCTGCTCTGTTGATGGCTGCACAGAAACACACAGCATTTGTATTCAGATTATTTGAAGCTGTCTAAAACTGTTTGAATATGTGCAGCCCATAAAAATATCCAGATAATCCCCCGACCTTCCAGTTGAGAGACGACCGACTCTACCACTGAGCCACAGCCGCCCCTGCCTGTGTGTCTCTCTGTGTGTGTGTGTGTGTGTGTGTGTGTGTGTGTGTGTGTGTGTGTGTGTGTGTGTGTGTGTGTGTGTGTTACCGTGGTACGAGATGAGCTCCTTGTTCTGATGGCAGAGCACGAACATGTCGTCCTCCAGAGTGATGAAGTTGAGGTACTGATCATAAACCTGAAACACACAAACACACGGAGCGTGGGGTCAACAACAGCAATACACACACTCATCAGGATGTTAAGTACCAGCTTCTGGACCAGAAGACAAACAGTAAAATATTCTATCACAAAACACTTATTTAATTAATTATAAAAAGACTCAGATAGAAGTCAAAACTTCCCGCTTGGAGCTCCGCTGCTCCCCCATAATATTCACTTTATATACAGAATCATTTGATGCATTAAGTGAGGCTGAATCAAAGAGCAACCATGGTAACCTTGGTGACTTGGGTGACGGCGTTAGCAGCCAGGGCGGCGCTGGCGATGTCCTCCAGTTTACTCCGACTGATTGCAGAGATGAAGTTCAGAAAGTATGACTCGTACAGCTGGTTCCTCAGGTCCTACACACACACACACACATGTTTTCATTACAGGTCACAACAGAAGAACATTTAAACTGCTTACTCTCAAAGTGTGTGTGTGTGTGTGTGTGTGTATACCTGACATATCCTGTCTATGTTCTCCTCTGTGGGCATGACGAAGTAGATGGCAGGAACGTCAGGGATAGGATCTCTGTCTGAGTGAAGCAGACTGACACACACACACACACACTCTAAACTCTGAGGAAATACTATTATCAAAAAGAAACGAACTTCTGGAGAGCAACTCGGAGCTCTCACATGGTCATTTTCTATCATTTGCAAAATAAATGTAATTTGTAGCTGCTAGTGATGTGGGCGTTTAGTCCACTAAACAGTCAAACGTCGTCACCAGAATTGCAAGTGGTTTAAACAAATTGTTTAATTTCTCTCCTCGCTCTACATGCATTGTGTCCACCTGGCGTTTCTCCGGGCAGTAAAACATTGGCTGTGCACTCTGAAGTGCTTGCATGAAGTGTTTGTGCGCTGAGAAGAAAAGCGCTGCACCTCCGTGCTGTCTCCATGACAACAGTCTGTTGACAAGGGCAGCTGTATGAGCGACACTGCTCCGTTACTTTTTACTGCATGTTTTTATATTTCAGATCGTTTAATTCCCGATCAAACACGGAGCGAGGAGGATGTGTACAGGAAAAAACGCTAGGTGGACACGGGGCCTTAATGTCGCTTTATAATTCATTGTTGTTGTTTTGTAGCTGCACACATGATAAAAACAGTCTCATCTTCGTGGCTGTTATTAATCAGGCAACCACAGGCTGGATCATCTTCTCGTCCTGTAACGTTTAATACTTTATGTGGATCAGGAACGTTTTGACTTTTGCACATCGTAGTTTGAATCGTGTGTGTGTGAGTCTCTTACAGGTGCAGGGTGATGCCCATGTCTCTCAGCTCTTTGACGGACAGCAGCGGGGAGATGATGTCCTGGCCGAACCTGTCGTATATCAACACCTGAGCACACACACACAAAATACAGACACACACAGATCAGTTAGGAGATAAAATAAGTGTGTGTGTGTGTGTGTGTGTGTGTGTGTGTGCTTGTTTTACCTTCCATACTGGCTCGGCTGTTGTGTTCTTCAGAGGAGGAGCGTTAAAGTTCAACATGCGCTTCAGAGCGACTGCAGGAGAAAACACACACAAACTGTTCACACACAGCAACATGTACTTTTTTATCTAATTACAAAATAAAAGCATATAATGACCTTTTATTAAATAATTCAAAACTTAATATCAAAAGGGCCAGGCAGATTAAAAAGTGATGGTTTATTCTAAGTTAAGTCCCGCCTCTGACAAGGCAAACGGCCAATTGTAAGCCTTTTTCAGAGTGCAATTCCGCTACAGAGTCGCAACGGCTGGGAATTCACATTGCGTTATGGCGTTGGGGAAGCGTAAGAGAGCACTGCAGAGCAAGAGCTTCACATACACACACAGTCAGACATGCACACACAGCACTGTGCTCCCCACTGGCTCCGCCTCTCCTCTGGTACTACCTCTGAAGACGGGACAGAGGGGGGATCACTGCGTCCCCTCACTACGCCTCTATGACATTCAGATTGAAGGCAGAACGTCACAGGGGCGTATATATGGTGCCTTGAAGCGGCGGTCTGAAAAGGGCTAGGATTTTTTGGGTTGGCACCTGGAATGAGGTGGGAAAGCCGCCGCTGACCACGCCCCTGACCACGCCCCTGACCACGCCTCTGCCTCATCATATCGTGAACCCTGTATCGTGATGGGTATCGTATTGAGTTGAGTGTATCATTACATCCCTATCGTTTAATCTCAGTCTCAATATACGATATACTGGAGGTATAAAACACCAATATTTCTTAAAAATACTCAAACTCTGAGCTGATAAATGATTTCTGGTTGCAGCAGGTAAGCTTCATGTAGCTAACAGTGCTAGCAGCAGCGTTAGCTCACAAGCTAAGCGGTTGGTTCAGTCTTTAGTTAACTGGTTATTAATCAGTCAGGATCATTAGTTATAAAGCAGAAGAGGAGTATGGAAGAGTTTGTGTGACAAAAAGTGAAACTGAAACGTCTGTTAATCAGCTGAACGAGTTAGAGATGAAGATCGGTTAGTTAGCTGGTTAAAGATGTGACAGCTCTGAATAAATCTCCTCCGTGAAAGTCAGGAAGGTTTAACGTCCAAACATCCCGTAAACTCTGCCGTCTACCGCCACAATTAACCGTTAAAGAAGACAACAATCAGTTTGACTAACCCGTCTGCTTCTCCCGGACGGACGCCGCCATGTTTGATGTTGTTGGTGGTGACGGAGCGTCCGATGACGTGGCAGCAGCTCGACGTCAGCCGACCGGTCAAAGAGGAGGAAAAGGAGTGAAGACGTGTCACTCTGACGCTTTTCCGATAAATCAAACACGTGCATGTCGCCACGACATTTACCAAAGTATAGAAGTATTTCAAATATTTTACACAAATATAAAAACACAAATTGTGCAAAACAACATAACCGACAGGGGCAGAGCAGAAGATTTTTTCACTCAGAGTGAAGGCGATCTAAAACCCTGCAAATAAAATAAAACTATGCAGTCAGAAGCTGAAGCCGTCACGTAATGTTAAGGAGCAAAAGGTTAAATATTGCCCTCTAATGTCAGGGTAGGGAAAATTAATTCAAGGAAACGTATTATGGCCTTCATTTAAACGACCAATAAATCATCATGGTGTGTCTGAGTGGCAGTCAGTCACAGATATGTTTTTCAGTCATTCAAAGTAGAAAATCAGGACGACAAACTGGTTTGTTTCTGCTTTTATAATCCACAAAAAATAAGGAGTAAATGTCACTCAGCACAAAACATGCAGCAAACACCAAACAGATAAATAATAACAAAGGTACATGGACATAAAAGTTTGAAAGACATCCAATACATCAGAAAAAGGACACCATGTAAAACAGAGTAACTGAAGAAGAATAAAGGATAGAGAGATATGACTGATAAAACAGATAAAATAATGTAATTATTGGTTATTAAAGAAAAAGGTTATATATTATAATCTGTCTCTACAATGTTTAGAATTTAGACTGCAGTACCCATTTTAAACACTAGGTGTAAGAGTTAATACTGCTCCTTTAATGAAACATGTTATTCTTTAATTAATCAGGCAATCCAATCGCTTCTATAAACAAATGTTTTCAAACTTTGACTTTTTTCTGTAAAAAAGAAATCAATAAAACAGGAAATAAGAAGGAGGGACGAGATGAGAAACTGCAGCATCAGCAAAAGCTGTCAAACTATATACAATAAAAACCACATGATATCAGCACCATAATAAAGAGGACATGTGGTGAATGAAAGGTTTCAAAGTTTTGAGAAAAATAGAAATGTAGACTTTAAATGTCGCCTGAAGCGGTGTTCTTACAGTGTTTCAGGTCGTGCTTTGGCCATCTTTACAAACAGACGGGATAAAGTCAGCAGAGAATATGTTGAAAATTTCATAATTGTTCAGACTTAAACATACCAATAAAGTAACGCACAGTTTACAACCAAAGAAGCTTTGCATATTTACGTCTGTGTGAAAACAAAAACATGTCTTTAAAGATCACTAACGGGCGGGGCTTAACAAGAAGCAAGGTGACCAATAAAATGACTTTCAGATAAAGCGGGGAGTTTCTCTTTACATGCATAATAAAGCACTTTTGGCATATTCTCTGACTCCTCCTCCTTCTCTAAGTCTCCATGGGGAGGAGGTGCACGCGGTGGCTGACCCCCTGCTCCATGGAGCTCTTGAAGGCCTGGTAGGACGAGGCGACGGGCAGGAGGAGGGTTTGGAGTCAGGCTTGCTCTGGGAAGAGCCCATCGTCCCTCCACACTCCCTCCCTGCTCTGACGGTCTCCTTTACTCGGTCTCCTCCCTCTTTAAGGGTCTTGTTGTCCTCAGCTCCTGGTGGGGAAGAGATGATGGCATGGAGGAAGGAGATGGGGGAGAAGGGAGGAGGCCGGCTGC